CCAATGTATTTTAGGGATATGAGTAAAAGAGGATTGCTTGATAGGTTTTCTTTGAAAGATATGTGAAATGAAGCTTTGTTATTGTACGTATTACAAAATCTGACATTTGATATGCACGCCTTCCAGAAGGAAGATTTGTTGGTTTAGAAGTTTGGTCAAGTATATATACTTCAAGATCATATCCTGTTAAAAATTTAGCCATTGGATAATAAAAGTCTTTGCCAAATTGAACTAAAAATTTAACTTGCAAGTTTAAAATTGGATCGCCAAGCCATTTTTTTAATAGTTCTCATTTTTTAATATGACTTTGGCGTATGATTTCGAGCTTTAAGTTGTGATAAAAACTATTCTGCAAATTGTATGTGAATACTTCTACGTTCTAAATATTGTTCAGCATATATCAATTCATAAAGCCATCTTGATCGAAGTGGTTGTTGATATTTTGTTATTCGATATTGAAATCGTTCTTCATAAAGTCTGTAAATATAGTCAGAACGAACACCCATTGGTTTATCTTTATCTGACTTATTATAACCATTGTGAAGGTTCCAGACTAAGTATAAGAGATTTGTTGGGTGTTCTTTTTGTGAAAATATGCTAATATTAGGTAACTTTCCAAAGGCAGTTTCCTCAAAGTTATTCATAATAATATGTGCGACATGAAGTTTACAGGGTATTCGAACCATTTTGGTACTACTTATTTTGTTAAATAAAGTAATTGCGCCACTAGCTTTTCTATTCATGTAGTTTGTATTGTCTGAAACGTATACTAAACATTGATACGGGTTAATTTTAAAATGATTTAAAGTATTGTATATCGTTTAAGCTACCATTTTTCCTGTACAATTTGTCAGGTCTTTTATTTTTAACACTTGAAAATCAGGCTGATTTGTTTTTGAGTTTCAGAATATGATGCATAATACGAATATCTTTTGCTAACCACGGGTTGACTCATTCACCATTATTCCAAGAGTAAAAAAAATAGAAAAATTATTTTTATTTAAAATTTGATCAATATGAATTTCACTAATTTCTTGATTCCATCGAATAATTGATCTAGATGAAATCGGCAAAGATAAACTTTCTTCAGTTAAAAAACCCAAGATTAACTGTGTAGCTTGAACCATACTTCTAAATGATATTTGACTAATTTGCGATACTTGAGCTGCCATATTTATGAATTGTATTGTATAATGATGCTTATCTTTCATAATTATTGCCTGAATGGTTGCGTTCAAGCTTTGTGAATCTGCAAGTTGAGATTTATGTGCAGTAGCATGTACTTTTGAGATATGTCGACTCTTTTTACACTTATAATGTGATAATGTTCCCACTAATTGTTTGACCTTATTAATTTTTTTAGCATTCGAATTTTCCAGTTAATTTATTTTTTTTTGCAAGGTTTTGTTGTTTTGAACTAATGAGCCAGAATCTTGATGCGGCTTGTAAAAAGACGTTTTTATAAAGTTTAATGCCTTATCTTGTAAAAAAGACAAAAGCAGTTTATTCTCATTTGTCTCTTTATCATACCTCATTTTGTTAAATAAATAAGCTGCAAGCTTCAATTGATTATTAGGTAATTGTTCAATCATATTGACTAACTTTTGGCGAAGTGTCATTTGGTTTGTTTTTTCATTATTGGTTAATTGAACGATATTTTGATAAATTAACTGTAATTTATTGTTATCCATTTGGGTTAACATTTGACTAATATCATAGATTTGTTTGTTACATTGGGCAGCTTTTTGTGTATCTGCTGATACTTGACTTGCTTTACGTGTATGAGCTTTTCGTTTAGATACTTTTAGCATTTGGTCTAATATGATATTATAATTTATCAATTTTTATAGACAATTCACGAAAAGTCAAATAACAATCTTATATTTTTTGGCAATTAATATAGGAATGTTTAATATTCGACTCACTTATATGTTCTTATGCCAAATCACTTTTTTATTAATAATTTTCACTCTAACTGCACTTAGTACTTCAAAGTTGTATAATGATTCCGGTTAATAACTTTCACCCCAACTGCATTTAATGTTTCAAAGTTGTATGATGATACCAGTTAAAGTAAAAGTTTGTCAAAATTCTAATTGAATCTCTTATATAGTTCTAATGTATGCAACATTACATCACTGATAAGTCAAATTAAGCTTTAAATTCCTTAATTTTATCGATCACGACAATCTTGATTACTAATATCGACAAAAATAATTTCAAAACGATTCAACTTCTTGTCAAGGCATCAAATTACCTTGAAACTTTCACAAATTGCTTATAAAATGCTAGAAAATAAAACTATGCTCGATAATTTTCTATCAACATATAAGTTTTGGGCATTCATTTTATAGAATATCTTAAATTTTATTGATTTAGAGTAAAAAAAATTATCTTGAAATCATAAGTTAAAACTTACTTAGGGCTTTCGCAAAAAATTCACCATAGAACCTTTAAGATAGTTCTAATGAATGCTTCTCATTCAAAAAAAACTCGAAAAATAAGTGCAATTTTCGTCTGAATTTTTTAGAAATTTGCATATTTTTGATAATTGAACAATATAAAGATAATATTCAATTTACTACTATCAATTTCGCTAATAAAATCTGATCTTAGTAAATTGATCAATATCACTAACATAGTTTTAATTACTTAGTTGATATCCCACCCTAACATCGTACGCACATCATACGTGTGAATCTAACATTAAATTAACCGAAATTATCGGTATACGTATTGCGATTTCAATTTTACACAATTAAACTTTCGTCAGGGCTAATTTTTTTTGTACTCCAAAATTTAAGGGGTACTAACTGACTAGTTGGGGTTAGATTGTTATTTGACAGATATTGTTACATTTTTATTATACTATGTTAAATTTGGTTCAAAGCC